AGCCTTTGGCTCAATAGCCTAACCCACAATGCAGTGGGTGGTTTGGAGGTTTGCTTGAGGGACTCCACCCGGAGCCTTTGGCTCAATAGCCTGACCCACAAGGCAGTGGGTGATTCGGTTTTTTGCTTGAGGGACTCCGCCCGGAGCCTTTGGCTCAATAGCCTGACCCACAAGGCAGTGGAGAGCAGATCCAGCTCGGGAATGTGATTGCAGAGACAGATGGGGATCTGCTTGACGGCCGTCATACGCAGCCTTTGTGGTTCTGGAACAATTATCATATGTTTTGCGACCGTAATTGGATACGCACCTGCGACCACGGCCAGACGCAGGTGGGTTTTTGGCGGGTTTGCACCAATTTGACCAGGGGCTGCCTGGCTTGAGGCGGGCAGTAGCAAACCATTGAACACCCGGAGGTGTCCTCTCACCGTCAGAGACAATGCGTGGCCCTCGTGCTCTACGCCAATCGAGCTTTGAGAATATAAGCCGTAAACCTGTTGTCTTCCATGGCTAGGTTTTACGGGAAGTGGGCCATCGACCACTTCCTAACCTCCGGAGAGGATGGACTAGGATACTGCCAGAGCGCCCAATCCTGACAGGAGAACGACTCGGGTCCTCAGCCAACGCCTTCGATTAAATGAACACCCGAAAGGCAGCGAGTCGAGCACATGGTCAGTTAGCCGACTCATGCGGATTGGTGTCCTGGATCTTAGCAGGAAGAAGGGCGAAACCCAACTCCCACCCAGCGGTCGCCACGTGGAGGCGTCCAGGACATGAGACTATGGCGCAACAGTAGCAGCAGTGGGTAGACCATCTGTCAGGATCTAGCCACCACCAGCCTCAGCGCACCATAGGCTCTCCCGCCATATATATATATATATATATATATATATATATATATATATATATATATATATCACTTCCAGAGACAATGCGTTGCGCTCGTGCTCTACGCCAATTAAGCTTTGCGATTATAAATCGTAAGCCTGTTATCTCCCATCGCTAGTTTTTACGGGAAGAGTACCATGGACCTCTTCTTAGCCTCCGTAGAAGATGGGGTTTGGACAAGGATACTGGCAGAGTGCCCACGCCTGACATGAGAACGACTCGGGTCCTCAGCCAAAACCTTCGATAAAATGCACATCCGAAAGGCAACACTCCATACTGCTTGAGTCAGTGAACCGACTCACATGGAATTGTGTGTCTTGTCTCTTAGCTACAAGAATGATGTAACCCATCTTCCTCCCAGTGGTCGCCTCAAGGAGGCGTACAGAAAGTGAGTCCACGACACAACATTAGGAACTGCGGGTCAAGCATCTGTCGGAACCTAGCCCATGGGAATCAAAGGAAAGTGCATTTCTATCAAAAATAGAACGAAATGTTTTGTTTTACACGCCGATCTTTTTTACTTTTCCATGCTCTATTTAGTAAACTTGTGAATCAATACAACTACACAGTTCCACTGATCCCGGTTACTGGCCATGTCTTCAAGCATATTAAGCCATTGGCGCTCCTCATCCTTGGGTCTCCATGCAGGAAGGCGTACGGGTCTAACGGCGGATGGACGTGACGTAAGCGATTTCATGTGCTGTCGCCATGTGGAACGCTGGCCACCGCGCTGTCCCCTCCAGCCCAGTCCTAAACGAGCGAATAAAGCGCGGCGCGGCAAACGCTCAGCGAAACCGGTTTGTTGAATGGAATACTCACATTCCCTATGATGCGACATCTAACTTCACCACTGTGAACTCGGTGTCGTCACCACACACGAGGTATCCTCTACAAAGTACCGTTGTCGAAGGCGGAAAGACAGCGCATGTCCTCTACGCAAATTGGCTAGGGCTTGCCCCCATACAACAACACTGGACGAACGGAGACATTATCATCCTCATCAATACACATTAGCTGATGGTGACAGTCGTCTTAGCTAATGTGCCGCAATACAACGAACAGAGGCACTGCAAACGCGGTTCTTTATCGAAATGGTGACGTCATGACGACGCCACAATTGTCCCGGAGTAATAAATGGTGATCAGGCTTTAACGATGTGAAGAGAAAGTTCCTTACTGATAGTGCCGCCAACGGAACCACAACTCCTAAGGTAGACGAAACTATCTACCTATTCAAGTTATGCTCCAAGGGTAAGCACAGGAACAAGCACGGACTAATCATGGAGCAGAAATTTTCACTTCAAGGTCGCGAATCTTATGCTATAGATTGTTCAACAGCCAAACGATTCAGAATAAGTTGCATACACTGTAGGTCATCACCAACTAAAGTGGTGTCACCAGTATCATCCAAATCGGTCGCGTGCTCACGCGGTAGAAACTCTAGACCAAAATTCTTGTAACGTTCTAAATCTCTCCCCGATTGCAAAGTTGAACAGGAATAGGGACATATGGCAGTCCTGTCACACACCGCTGTTGACAACGAAGGTCGAGGAAAGTTGCCGTAGACCCTCAATATGTCGGAGGTATAGAGGCAAAGTGCACGCACGACTACGGTATACTTCTTCTCTGGCACCCGTTCTTCAGCAAGCAACGCAATAAAGCAAGTCGATCCACCGAGTCAAATGCAGCCTGTATGTTTAGGAATTCGACGCTAGTTGGCCTGTGTTCGAGCAGTTGACGAAGCGTAGAGGTTTGATCCACGCATCCACTGCCGGGACTGAAATCTGTTTGTTCTTCACGGCAATAAGAATCACGTACTGTGGTGGAATGTGTGAAGCAGAGTAGATGTAACTAGAAATTGGATGCAACCGAAATGAGTTCAATCCATCGATGATTGACAATTGAAGTGCAAGCGCCTTTTTTCGTCATAACAGATTTTTTGCGAACAACGAGCTCGGCTTGTTGATTATCGCCACGCCGCCGTACCTGAACACCCTTGGATTGCTTTAAGCGTCGAATCTCGAGGCAGACTTCCGCTTCGCTGAGTGGATCCATTGAGACGAGCCAGGGTAAGCAAAAGGTTGTACTCCATGCATTGATGGACGGTGGAGGCCAGTTGGATTGCTAATGAGAGTGCTCGGCCCAGCGGTCCAAACGCCTCTATTGGTTGGTGATCGGAGACTTACTCACCACGCAGGTAATTTCATTGCTACTATGCTTCCTGTGTCCAGTGGTCCGATTGAATTGGAGAAACTTACGAGTGTTGCCAGACAGGGCAGCGGTCTCCGCCTCCAAAGCACCTTCAGACCACTAAGCTTCGCAATCCTTAGACTTTATTTGGGCTGCCGGTTGGCCTAGCGGCGCCGCTTGTTGTAGTCTACGGTAATCGAACAGCTCCAGAGAGCGAGCAAGTCTACACGTCTGACTAGGCTGCGGCTTGATTGTCCGGAGGTGATCATCTCCTACTCATTGCCTTGCGGTGGATTGCACTGAGTGCGCCAGTCATTGAAGACTGATAGCTCGACTGGACCGCGGTATCTGTTGGTATAAATCTTCGGGTGCTTCGATTTTGGGGACTGCCAAAATACATGCGGATTTTCGCGCAAACCAACGCATGAAGGTGGACCAAACAGGCCTGCCATCCCGTACGCTGCCCCGCCATCTGAAGCTGATTACGATGTAATTAGTTTGAGACTACGACTGTGTTGGCGTAGGGGGCGGACGCCAACTTGCAGAACGCTTTTTCATATGCTGAAGTTGGTGCTCGAAACATATTTGGTTGTTTTTGCACAATGTGAGAAGTCTCTCCGTTATCGGCAGGGTCCTCATCGAACGCGTGGTGAGCAGCAAGAGAATGTTTGCATGGTAACAAGCGACCAACCCTTGCATTGAAATCTCCAGCATGGACAAAATTAGCTGATGTTTTAGCTTTGTTTAAAAGTCGAAGCTCCCGATACAATTCGTCCTTGACATAGCCGCTATTGCAGTCATTTGGAGTGTACACGGTGATCACAAACAGATTACGTCTCTCATCGCGAAGCTTGTTGATTCTACAGTAACCCCGAAGCCGAACTGCACACATTCAGCTGTTAATCGGGAGGCAGTCCAGAAGTGCGGCCTTGGCCTTGCATTTAGTGCTATACCTACACGAGCCAAACCCGCTAAGGCTGCTTCTCAGTCACCAAAAAGATGCAGTGGATACGTGGCTTCGTGGTTACTGAGAGTTGTAAGCGTAAGCACAATGATCAGGTCCTGCTGTTGTGTTTCGGAAATACAGCAGACAATGCCGAGAGAATTTGGGGTGCGCACTAGATCGGCTTGCTGTCCAATCTGCATGAGTGTCCGTACGTTGTAGCACACCAAGCAGAACGATGACTGGGGTGGAAGGAGGGTCACAGATTGAAATCCATGGTTCTCCGTGCAACTGGAATCGCAGGTAGATACATGAACATAGGAATCAGGTGACCGATAACAAGAATGGTTAACAAATAAACAGTTATCCTGTGATGTCGTCACATAAACATAGGAAGTAGCACTAGTAACAGATGAGCACAGTGTAGAACGGAATCCATTTTTGCCAAAGGGCGTCTTACTATGCGGTAGTCCAAGAGGAAGTAGAGTGTTGACTTAGAGGACACCACCGCGAATCTTTAGTTAAATAGCGCACCCGGAAGGCAACGGCACACGAATTCATGTAGCTACGCCCATTGGATGCCGGTGACTGATTGCTCAGTACATGCGCCTTTCGTTTGATACGTTACCAAACTTGAACTCAATCTTCCCCACGATTTCAGCATCAGGTTGCTGGAATACAATGCTCCACCAGAGTGAAGCAATGGATAGTGACTATACTAAATGGTGGGTCACATCCGCCACGTCACAGTTTTGTTAAATGTACATATGCGACTTTTTACAGGGAGAATGCTTGCCAGGCGAAAACGCACCACCTGGAACACTGCCGCCGAATCATTGGCTGGAACGAGATAATCCCCAACCACCCAGCTGGTACCACGAGAAGATTGTTTGGCAAGCCAGCCGAATTCCATCGTGGCTATATTTTGTTGTTTTCTCCACATAACTCATCTATTTTTATGCACCCACACTTTTACACGCTAGATATGAAATTAGCTGTGTTGGCTCCAATCACCCCACCATTGGTACTTGACCTTTTTCAACACCGTACTTCTTCGGCTGGATCGGACCCTGTGCACAACGAGAATTGGTTTCGGCTGTCTCCCGGTGTGGCTCGTCTGGTGTTCAAATCAGAGCAGGGCGCTTTCCGATTGGTGATAAATGCCAATGCTAAGCGCTGCCCCGACTGGATCACATTCCAGCCAACGGTTACGAACCCAACCCCTTTCCTCAGCATGAACGACCGCCTACGATTGTGCGGCGGTCTGTCTGAATTCCTGGCACGTTTGCGGGTTGAAGTGAGTCACGTCTTATTCCGTACAATTTCTGACATTGTCTCTTTCGCACTCCACCCGTCGCTGTTACTACGAGTAATTATACACTCTTTGTTCCCCGAGAACTCGTTTGATTAAGTCCGAGACATACGAATTCAAGACAGTTTTCTGGACTAGGCACTCATCCACAATGGGAGAAACTCTCTAACGGTATCCGTGGGTTGTGACGAGACCAGGAGGGGGCGGATGCAGCCTGTGTCACGATGATCTACGTGCTTTTGTGAGCAGTTGATTCATGCTACAGTTGGGCACTCACTGCCATAAAATTTGGTCCATTGTGACGAAGCCACTCTTTTAGCATTGACTACGATCAGTCGCAAGCCATGAGTGGCTATCCGCATCTACACATTCGAACGCGAATGAGACCGGGCGGCTTGTGAATTATAACCAGAACTCTCTCGGAACCGATCCATCTTCTTTCGACATACACACTTCCGGAACCAGTTGTACCAGATGTACTACGGTACGGTGGCTGTACCGTATATCTGCTTTATTAAACCATCAACTCATTCTATTGGGTGCATTTCAAGCATCTTTCTCTATGAAAAGAAGAAAGAAAGGCATCAAGAAGTACGCCGGCAGGCAGTACCGACGCTTCGCTGCCGCGCAACCTCCAACAGTGGCAGGTGGGCTAAGGATACTTAGAGGGCCGTCCGGTTCCTACGCGGGCTCGAATCCGTGCCCTAGATATTATATGGCAGGCTTGTGATCCTTAAGGCTACGGGCAGGGATGCAGACATACTTAAACGGCCTCAACAAAAATTCCAAATTTCATTCAATAAAAATATGCACAGATGCCACTCAACTGAACAGTTTCGTCTTCATAAAATCTAAACCAAGCAATTCGTTTCATATTCCCAGACAGGAAAATTAGTAGACGACTTAGGAAATGACGTCACCATAAGATACTCTTTTTGTTTACATACAATTATTGCATGTTTGTACTTGATAAAAATGCACGAAGTGCCGATGTCATCCCACATGCTACGTCTTCTGCCTTTCCTACCTGAATTTCTTCAAGTTAACAAATACGCGTGCCAGATACGGCATTGCAGCATTATGGTATGTCCAGTACGAGATAATACGACTCTGAGAGCTTCTGATAAATCACTGTGTAGAATCGAGGTACTTGTTGGTGAAAAAACACTTCCGCTACATCTGGAGATAAGATTTATCGATTTTTCACAATAAAAATATACAATAAATAACCGGAACGATGCAGCCAACGAGAGCGCACGCCGGGTTCTTTAAATAAGCATTTTGAGTATGATAGCTAGAAAGACGAGCCTCTCACTCTGCTAAGTAGTTGGCTAACATGCGTTGATCGGGTTAAATCTCGGGATACAAGGACGCGGGGGGAACTACACATCACCTGTTCGCTGATGTGCAGAGAAGTGGAACATTTGACGCGACCCGCAGTTTATTCGTACAAAGGAAATAGAATACACCATCACATTGTTTAACATCGTAAGGTTCCTGGATGATGACCACCCCATTGTATCAGTAGTCATGATGCTGACTTTGATTGATGAAGCGCCTGGTCGACATTCGTGTTCCGTACACTTGGATCTGATGTTTTGCGCGAAAACAAGCGCTTGGCGACACTTTTCGAATCATCCAGCTGTGATGTGCTTGCATTGACAGGATATGACACATGCTTCTGAAAGTGTGGTGCGATAAGGAGCGCACTCAGCTGCGCCCGTTGGTCAAACCGGTTCCCATCTGTAATGTCAATTCTCCTCGGTGGTCGCACTAGTATTGGAGATACGAATCGAGCTCTTCTGTGCGATACTTCTCAGTGGTCTTGTCTGGTCGTTTTACCTCAGCTCCGTTTCCTACTTTCCATATCTGTTTATTTCGGTTCCGAACTAGTTTGGCGAATGTCTACGACGTGACTACGTATGCCGCCCCTACCGCCTTGTTTGATTTTTTTAGCCCCTGTGCAGTTGTTCTGTTCTCACAACTCAACTTCATGGCCAACCTGCCTGGTGATGGCGATACAGTGGTTATTGAACAGTTGTGGACATTGTAGTGCTCTCCTGGGTGCCCTGATGTTTTCGTCGACATTGGGCACCTTTCGCTCGGTTCTTGTTGTCAATGACCCTTGTCACCTTGCGTTTGGTTCTTATTGGGGCTACCTAATCCATGTACCCGTTTGTGAACCATTGGATGGAGAGTATCATCAGTACGCCGATACGCAGTACCGACGCCTCGATGTTGCTCAACCACCAACAGTCACACTTGGACTCAGGATACTGCGACGGTCGCCCGGTACCCTATGCAGCCTCGAATCCGCGCCGTCAGATTACAAGACAAGCTTGTTACCTTTAGGAGACGAGCCGGCAAACAGGTTTTCACAATTCCGTTTCCAAATATAAAGAGTTCGAGAAACAGTCGCATCGAACCAATGTGGATAAGTGAAGTATATATATATATATATATATATATATATATATATATATATATATATATATATATATATATATATATATATATATATATATATATATATATATATATATGCAACAGTCTATGAATAGACATAGAGCCATCAGAAACCATGGAACACAAAAGAAGGTACAGAAATTGTAAAAGAAAACACAACTCGTTAAAGTCCATGGTTTCGTCAGAGGGCGAGATACTACCCGGTTGTTTAGGCCGAACTAGGGTGTTGACTTAGGGGACATCACCCAAAGCCTTTGGTTGAATAGCCTTCCCACAAGGCAGCGGAGCGAATTCAGGGAATCGCGCCCATTGGGAGCGGGTGACTGATTACTCATTTCCAACGCCTTTCGTTTGTTCGTTTGTCAAACATAGGTCTAATGCTCCCCGGAATTACAGCATAAATTTGCTGGAATACAATCCTTCGCCAGGATGAAGCAAGGGGCAGTGACTTTAGTTAGTGGCGAGTCACGTCTGCCACGTCACAGTGTTGTTAATCGGACATATGTGGGTTTTAATAGGGAGAACGCTTGCCAGGCGCAAACCCACCAGGTCCTGGAACACTGCCGCCGAACCATGTGCTGGAACGGGAAAATCCCGAACCACCCAGCTGGCACCACGAGGAGGTTGTTCGGCAAGCCAGCCAAAAGTGAAGTGTACACATGCTCTACGCGAGGCCCACGGCGAATGCTACATCGGTGAACCACATGAAGATCGCAGGGCCGGATCTAGGAACACGGGATGGAAAGTGGAGGCACGCATCCGCAATTCTGGTCGGATGAAATTCGCAACCTCATGTCAGTCAAGAATTTGGACAGCGCGTAGAGTTCAGTCAAATGCAATAGATAAAGAATCCGCTGAAACTGGGTGCAATATCAGGGTGTTCGGTACAGTAGGCAATGTAGGGCCCTTTGAAGTTGCTATTAACTTTGTATTTTTTTACTTACTAACAGTAGCACACAGTCTAGTTAAAACGCTTCGTCACGTTACACGTGGGTTACTAAAATGTGCAGGGTATCGGTATTCACGTGCGGTATCCTTTGAGCCATTTTGGTAACGAAATATGCGTCTTACTGCATCTCAAATATGAGCTGGTGTGCATTATAACACTTGTAGCAGTCTTTCATAGGTATGCTGTGTTCCACTCAACCATGGACCCAAAAAGCGAACAACTCTGTGCAACATATTGACCACTAACGGACCAGAATGTGCTGTCCCATCGGCACTGGATAAAAGATGGGGTAATCTACATTGACAAAGAATCGCTATAAGCACACACGGCCAGGGGACTGGATGCCGTGCGAAGGTGCCATCCGCCAGATCTAAGGAGCAGCAACGTCAGATAGGCTGTTGAAAATAACGTCTGCTCCGTTTGAGCTTACTGAATCGGTCACTCCACCCAACTAGCCTGCAAAATGGTGGGTAGAGTTCCTACCTTTTTCTTTATAGTGGTGATAAAATCAAGCGCAGTGGTGAGCATCAGTTTTGGGTGTGCGATGCGGCGGTCTTGTGTATTTAACAGTACTCTCGAGCAGACTTCTGCATCTTTGGGAAATGGCTTCAGTCCCTCTACCGAACCATCGGTGATTGATCTGGCAACCATTTGGTTTTGCCCAAGCAAATCTCATAGTACCGGTATCGCTCCGGCGTAGATCTCATCCGGGGATCACGTAACACCCCGATCCTACGCATGCTTGAACCTTCGATCTCCGAATTACGAGGCAGGCTTGTGATTCGGCCATTAGATGGAGGACTCTTGTGTGTAAGTTGGAAAGGCGTTCATGGACGCTCCTGACTTTTCAACTGCGTAATTCTTTTTCAGTTTTCCGACTGCGCACGTGCGTTATTCAATGTATCTTTTTCGCAATCGTTCGATGGCATTGGTTAAACATGTGAAGTCATTCATCTTCCCCCGATATAGTCATGGTGTTAGACCATTTCAGTGGCTACAGTGTCTATCTGACTGGCGTGGTGCAATCGGTTGTTACCTTCATTGCGATTCACCTCGTGGCCATTGGGCCTACCACAATTCGGTTATTTGGCTGAACTGCAATATTGTGTGTACTGAGCGAGTTCCAAGTAGTCAGGATAGGCCACAGCAACTCAGCTCACCGGTTCTTGCACACTGGTCGCGTCCGCGCACGCGATGCTCCGTTGCCTTCGACGTCTCGGGATCTATTACCTTGATTTTCCATCCCAATGTGACGATTTCTGCACCACCGATTTATTTATTTTTTGCCTTGCACGATTTTTCGTTAATCATCTGTGTTCTTGGCCGCTTCGGTTTGAGAATCTGAAACGTATACAGGTTTTTAATCATTATTGTCTACGAAGCACTGCTTGTATCAGATAGCAGCAGCAGCGTATTTGCAACGGTGATGAGCAAAAGCGAGTACTACACGGTGGTAAACACGCTAATTCCTTGCAACATCAAATAATGATGAATAAGCTGTGTTGGGTTTGATACGTGTTACCTATACTTAGTCAGTCAGAGAGCACTGGTTTTTTTTACCACATGTAGGTTGGTGTTAGGCTCGAAGTGGGCAAAAGTTAGCTTTTCAGCTGGAACTTTGGTCACTGATGTCCAAACTGGATGTTGTCGATCGGTCTCATATTCCAGGTTGGACTCCGCGTGGCCTGCCTTATGCTTAGATCGAGACGTTACAGGAAATGGTTTGCATTCGGCACCATTGGCGCGTCTGCTGTCTTCTCCCAGACGGACTGCATGTTTGAATGTGTTTGGTGCTGAGGTATCTGCGGGGTAATGGTTGATTATGACGCGGGGTAGTGAAAGCTACAAGGAAGCTGTCTCGCTGATTCCGCCTTATCTTTACACGATAACCAACTGTTTGTGACAAGATCTAGGCGCCTTGACTCTGGGTGTTTGCTCAAGGCATTCAGGTTTTACGCTACGCCCTTTCTTTCATTTTTCTTCGTTCCGTAGGTCACCGTGGTTGTACATCAGCGAAATATCATTCGAAATTGCCGATGTATTGATTTTGCTGATGTAATAATGACATGTGGTCTACCGATTTCCTAGCTCCACTTACCTCTTTTTATCTTTGTCAGCTGCCTTCACTCTTCCGTCCTTCTCTGCTGTCTTTGAACTCCGCATTTGAGTGCCTGCAGTCTTACCAAAAGGTTGCATATTCCGCGGGACGCTCGACGTGAGTTACGCCTTAGTACCCCACTGCTTATCCAGTCTCATAAATGGTTTATTCTCCGATTCTTCGAGGCACACCAAATCAGGCTTGATCAGGAGTTTACAAGAGATGGTTTCGGAACAGACGCCGTGTTTTGTAGAAAATGCGATGAATGCACAGTACATAGAAATTACTGAAATAGCGAATACGCTGGTCGGGAATAGAATCGTTAATGAGGTGGCGATAGTCTGGTTTCAAGAGTGTGTGTTGTAGAGATCAGCAGTAAAAGCGTAATATATGGAGTGGTAACGGGAGATATAGACAGGGCAGTGTCATTTTGGTGTACATATCAAAAAGATATTGAACTGTAGGGAAATGGCGCTCCGGTTGAATTAGCAGTGTGAATTTGTGGGCAGTGTCTTTATTCAGTGGCGAGTCACTTCCGCCACGTCACCATTTCGGGATAACTTATTTTCCATTTTTCTCGTATGAATCGCGCTAGTTTCGTTCATTCCTGCGTCATCTAGGGCATCGTAACTGTTGAAATAGGTAATGTGAGCATTTCATTAGTATGTTTGCATCACAAAGTGTGTATGTCCGTCTTTTGTTTGGGTACTTTAATGCTGCACTCCACTCCACGGTAGCCAGTACGTGGTCTTTCAAACGCTTGACTATGTGAGCAGATCCCTGTGACACTTGCACGCCAACTTTTGGTTAACTTGTTTCATACTTCTAGCATGTAGACTACTACTGCAACACTGAGGCAGTCATGCATCATCTCTAACCATCACTCTACAACCGATCAACATGGTCAATCGACTTGCGTATCCGGTTAACTGTGTTTCCTGCCGGCTTCTAGGTCACTGAGAAGGCTATTGCCACGCATCGCCAAGACCTGCGTGGTTTTCCAAAGCCTCAGTCACATGTGATGAAGGCGGGGCAAGATGCGATTCTTTTTGGTTATTGCCCTGGTGCGCAGCGCCTCAGTGCGATCAGTGCTACCCTATGGACAAGGTGTAAGGTCACTGCGGAGTGCGAACATCTAATATTACTCCAAATTATCGTAATCATCTGTGTTTGGCAACACATCTTCTGGCACCGCACTGTCTTGTCCGTTGTACTGGAGTCGCCATCGCTTTCCAGGATAAATCCTTCGCATATCTACCGATCGTCCGCCTTGAAGCATTTTCTTTATTAGCATTAGATCATTCGACGATAGTACAGAGTAACCTGAAGGAATTGGCCGAGCGATTTAGTCGTCCCGATGCGTACCGACTTCCTGGGTATCGACAACACTCTCTGTTTGCCACGTTATCCGAACTGGTCCAATGACGCGGGTGAATGACACCCATTCTCACTCATACAGTCTTTTGCTGTTGATCTGTTCACTTCTTCCCTTCCGTTTTCACGACACGTTATCGAATTAGTCTTTTCGGTAGCAACTTTCGCCGGAGCAACCAAATCCGTTGCTCCTGGTTGTTTTACCAAACCTGACTGTGCTTAACTTTTGAATTCTACAATTTTCTTTCACATGCACGTACTTACGCGCAGCTTCGTATCAATTGGAAGTATCGGCAGTCTCCATTGAATCTAACTATCGTTTTCCTGCGGCCTCGCTGTTACTGTTTTTCTCACCGCTTGCGTGCGGTTTCATTCAACTCGAGAGCCTATCTCGTGGAATGTTGAACATCATATATATATATATGTATATATATGTATATATATATATATATATATATATATATATATATATATATATATATATATATATATATATATATATATAATCTACCTGTACTATCTTCTATAAACTTTCACACGTTGCTGAAGCTAATTGTAGTTAATTTCGATAACAATTTCGCGTCTGTGGCATTTTCCTAAAATGTGTTTTCCCACCTCTTGAACTTATCGCGGATTCGTTCGTAATCATCTTTTATACGCTCATTTAGTGAAGAGTTATGCCGCCGTATCTGTATGCATTATCTGATTTGTTTTATTTCATCTTGTCGTTTCAAGTTATTGGCTGTTGCTTGATATCCCCCGTGTGGCTGCGCTTGATGTGCATGCTGACAAGGTGCCTACCCGTCCATTACCCACTACCTCGTCTATACTGGCTCCAGGAGACGGTCGTTTCTGGAGGGGCCGGGGTGCACGGTCCTTGTTGGCGTGCTAGGCTCGAAGAGCGGTTCTATGCACTCAGTGTGGAGCGAATTACGGTCCAGCCACCGCCTTGTCTGCGCTTGATTTTCAAGTACAGCGTGTTTGTGTTTGCCTGTGAAGGAGTGTGGGCCGGATCCGTTGATGAAATGTGGCTCCCATCCACATGACTCCTGGTCTTATTCCTTCGGGTTTACACTGGATATGGGGTGTGTGGTTGGAGCTGTGGGTGGTACAGCGCAAGCCACCCATGGTCCCTCTGGAGACGCAGGCGTCCTGTGGCTGGCCACAGCCATATATATATATATAAATATAAATATATATATATATATATATATATATGAATGGATGAACTCGCCATCACACATCCGGAATAGCACTGTTCAATTGCTTCATCCTCTCGGGAATCTTCAGCAACGCGCATTCCATCGAACATGTGTGGTGCTCAAACCTGCAGTTCAACTGTTGCCAGTCTGTGGTTAAGACCACTGGGATACGGTGGACAGCAACAATCATCATTACTAAGTTACTGGTTTTGGTATAGAGCCGCTGACTTGTACGTTACGTTTGTGCTGTCGCATCAGATTTACTCCTTTTCCAGCTCATCTCATTGTTCCGACATTCTCTTTCCCATGCTTGCCACTACACTCATGTTTTATGTTCAGCTCACTTTTCAGGGGGTCGTTTTCTTTCACCGCATTCCGTGATCACATCACTTACGCGCAAAGCCGTATGCCTCATAGCGTGAGGACTAGTTCTCCTTTCGTTTTCGCCACCGTCCTCCTCTTTAATTCTTTGTTCCTCATTGTAGATTCAGCATAGCGAAGTTGGACTTAATGGATTGTTTCCATCAAATCGACCATTCTCGTTTGCTTGAAATCTTTAAACACGCTTGTGCCTACGTAAGTTTTGTTACTCCTCTGTTTACCAATGTGTTGCATCCTCCAGTTTCCATATGATTTCAGTCGAAACAATCCATTTTCGCGCACTTACTGGATAATCGCTACATCGCGCACCTTCTATTAGGGATCTAAGCGTATTCTTACGTGGCGACTTACAATTCGTGCACAATATGAACAGGCAATATGGAAACATACTACGCATGCTTTGGACGCTCAACCACAGCTTCTTCACTTACTCTGAAGAGATTGCCACTCGCCTCTTCACTCCGAGTACGGCTCACCCAGTTGCAAAAACTGGAACATGTTCAGCCTGTCGGCCAGTGTCTGTAAGGATTACGCGTTTGACTTGTAATCCCAAGGTCACTGGTTCGAAATCGTGTACGTGCGGGCGACATTGCGGTGTACCCATTCTATACACAACCACTGGTGGTTGCGTGGCAGCGAAGCGTCAGTACGGTGTGTCAGCACACTGCTGATGATGCTTTTTTTGTTATGTCGCCACAAGGACCCTTCCCAGTTTATGGGGTATGTTGTACGAGGACCGTTGCAGACAGCTATCATATCGTCAATTTCGAGTGGACATCGTAATGATGTACCGAACATCTATGTGACTTCCCTATCCGAAAGCCGCTTCGGCACTTGCGCACAGCAGCCAACGCTCACGGGCACCTGAAGCGCATAGCTCACTCTCTATGCTTCGAGTGATGAACTATTGGGACAGATTGCCCGAGACAATAGTCGAGGCGAATTCGGTGTCGGGATTCAAGAAATTCCTAAACGCCCACTTTTCGAATTACAGATTTCGTTAGCGCATCACACTGCCAGTACACAGTAATAGATGACGTTCCTCAGCCGTGCCCGATACTATAAGGATGGAGCTGCACAGTGGTGTCTTCTAGCTCCATCAATCCTAACCATCTTCACAAGCCAACTGTGTCGACGCGAGTCGTCTCACTAAGGTATCTACCCGTAGTCTAAAGGTAACGAACTTGTCTCGTAGTCTTGCGGCGCGGGTTCGAATCCGCGTAGGAGTGGGCGTCCTCGCAGTATACTCAGCCCGCGTGCTACTGCTGATGGTCGCATGGCAGTGAAACGCCGTTACAGCGTACAGCTGACACATCATCAGAGTATCTACCGAAACCTTGCAAGCAATCCCAAATTGAAACGTATTTATGGCTCGCTCCACGTACGTTCGGTTTAGGTTAGTTAGGTTAGCTGCTAAAAATAGCAGCTTAAAGCCGTTTCAGCTAATCTGCGTTTAGCTGCGTACGACGCTTGACTGGTTTGAATTTTCAAGCAGCGGACTACGTGCTGCTCAATATTGTTGGTCCTCACTTTCTCGATGAGCTGGTAGATTTTTGAGTACGTTTTGTGATTTTTTTGGGTTATTTAAACTGAGGTGTACAGTTATACCAAGGTAATAGATCGATGCTGTGCTGTTGCTGTGGCCAGCTAGTTGTGTGTCACAAGTGCATAAGGTTTCTCACAGAAGTACCGCAACTTTCATCGTTGTTCACTTAGCGTTCTGTCTTTCTGCTTCGAAGACATATGTCCGTCCTCTTACACTGGCAGTGTGGCTTATACGTTTGTTCTATTCGTTTTGTACCGGTTGTTTGCCCATGGGATCTTAAATGTTTATTGGCACTTTGTCTGCACACTATCTGTCCACAGCACCCACGTAGGCGTTACTTTCGTCACCCGCTGTGGTTTCGGCTTACTCTCTGTGACGATGTTTGCTAGTGCTTTTGCGGCCCACTTCCTTTTTATATTACTCGCGAGTAGCAGGATTTTAGTTGTAATTTTGTTAAGGCGTGTCTTAAAATTACAAAACCCTACTACTCGCGAGTAATATAAAGGTGAATAGCCTCTCCTAATTTCAAATGCTGTGGATATAGCGTCTAGCGAGAGGACTACATCATCTCGAAGACTGGCCACTGTCAGTGACAGTGGAAGACAGGTGGTGTATATCCCAGTTAGCTTGCAGATTATGTAGTCCAGCCAGCGTCCCCCATGGCTCAGTGGGTTTAGCTGCTGGCTAGTTAACATCTGCCTCTAGCGATCATGGGTTTGATCCCCAGTAGGGGACTGCGGGAATGCGCACCACTGACGAGCCCCAATAGGGCGAAATGCGTCTAGTACTTTTCCGGACTAGACTATGCTATGTAGCTTGTGAACTACTGGGATGAATGCCTTAACAAAATCACTTCCTTTTTGTCTGCACAAATTTTTTCTCACGGTTGGCATTGTCCAGATCACCGTACGTTGTCCATCTTTATCTTCAATGTGTATTCCTGTTACCGCTGTGGTGCAGGGTCATCATTAACTATACGGTTCGCTACTTTATTTTCACATTGCACAAACCTGTCGTTAATGCTCACTGGGAGACTCCCGTGCCTCCTGTTTTTGTGTGTATGTACACTTGAGCAAGGCGGTGAACAGAACACTTGCGTTTCAGCAGGTCAATTCCTGGATAGGGAGGCTATTGCGCTTGTCTCCCTCGCCTCATTTTTCCTGCGTTTTCTCCGAATCACTAATACAGGATAGCGGTGTCCTAACTCATTTACAGCTACCTAGATCTGATTCCGCTGACGAAACTTGCGCACTTGGTGTCTTCGGTGATTCTGACCCCATTGGTAGCAACATCCGAATCCAATTCACTTGATCACCTATGGCTAGTGTTCCGACGTTCAGTGGATTTGACCCCTTCCTTTATAAATGGTCGTCTTACGTGGCATAGAATTAAAAAGTAAGCAAAAGTCATTTAGAGGTGACAATCAACGCGAATCAGTTAATGGAACGGTTTGCAACAGATGAAGCAGTGCAGTCAATGTTAATCTACTGGTTTACCTGCCTGTGTGGGGCCAGGTACCTTGGACATACGACTAGGCACTTAGGTAAGAGGATCAAGGATCACCTTCCAGGTTGACTGTACAATCATGAAAATAGAACAAACTACATTACGATTTCGAACCATACAATCAACACAGGCCACCAGATAAACAAACAAATTGCCTTTCAGATTCTCTGCAGAATACCATCAAGACATAACCAGCGAGTAACAGCAAACTTGCCACCGTTAGGGCAGTATGCATACGCCTGACAAACCCGAACTTGTGTGTCCAGAAGAAGGTAGTACAAACCCCAACTTCTGTGGCCGACTACCAGACGGGAAAGAAGTGATGACACTCCGCAAATCCACCTGACTTCAATCATGATGATCAGATGACTGCCATCATGATCACAAGTTAACTTATCTGATCAATTTTTTTCCTTCTTGGTTATGCTGAAGATTGCAACCGACCTTACCCTAATGTATATTAATGTATAAGCCTGCCGAAGAATTAATTGAAAACAATTGTTCACTTAACGCTTCGTGTTTTACTTCACTTTCTGAACTTGACGTAATAAACGGGCATTTTGCAATAGTTGAAACAATTCAGGAAACCACTGAGTTTCTGGTTGCACCATGTCCGATTGGGATGTGACCGGCTCCTGGCACTGCACCGACATGCAACCAACCCGATTCAACCTTTGGCGTGTTTCCCCTTTTTCATTCTCTCGAAATTTCATCCAGCTACACGCAATACTGTTAAGCCTTGTCATCCTCATCAATGCGCGATAGCTGAGAGTGAGAAACCTACCTTGGGTAATCTGCCGCAATACGTGACAGACAAGGCGTTAGAAATAACTAAACAAGCTAGTAAAAAACCACTAATAGAATAAACAAATGTCATTATACATCGGGTATGAGATCGTGCTTAGAGTTGGAAACTAACGGGAGGGAAACGAACAACGAAGTTCACAACACAAATGCCATAGGGGTTGGCTCTTCACCATGTCGACAAATGTTTCTGATCAAACGTGTACATCAGGAATACCAGTGGCAATTGCTAGCCTCCTTTTCCCTTGGTACAGTCACAGTTGACCTAATCTGTATTGGTCCTGCATGTTTTTGGCCTATGCTTGTATTATATCCCCGGAGAACTTGTCCTCGGCGTAGTCAGTATAACCAAGGAGAAACTGTGAAGGCGGTCAGCTACTGTGTTCTTTTGTTATGTGAACAACGCAATCGCTCAATGCATAACAAGCAAGAGCTATTGGAGCACGGGAGACATTTTAGAAAAACACACAAGTAGCGATATGTTTTGCGAGTAGACGTTACCGTTCGGTTGCCCGCAGTCGGCATGGAATCTTGATCGGCAGTTCCAACTTCCAATCTTTGATTCTGCCATATGGCCCACGAGGCAGCAGAATGAACGGTACTTTCTTTGCTCTACTCTAGTTTGAGTCCTGAACTCTTTAGTCTGATTCACAAGACAGTGGGAAGTGTGTGTGTTACTTGCTGTACACGTCATTGGGTTCCGTCCGAGGCCGATCACATGTATCTTTGGAAGATTCGGAACAATTGGTGCATATTTTTCTACTGTTCAGCACTGTGTGTGTACTTGCAACCTTTGTTAGTTGGTCTGTAGTGGGAAAGATTGCGCGCTTGCCTCGTAATCCACAGGTCACCGGTTCGAATCTGCGTAGGTGCGGCCGACCTCGCGGTACATCCGACCCAGGCGCGACCCAGGGTGGTCACATGACAGCCAAGTCTTGGTACGGTGTGCCGGTGTACTGCCGATGATCCATTGTTGATCGCAAGTGAATTTGCACGGTGACCTAATCATGGTTTAACAAATTTCATGCGGCTCTACTCACCCGTGTGACTGTTTACTTGTTGAAGCTCAATCTGAACAGCTGCCGTGTGGCCCACCGTCGAAAACTAGCCCAATAGTATCGTCAGCATTTCTCGCCACGTGCTCCCCACATCCGGATTGGTTTTCCAGGATCTATTATTTATGCTCCTACATTAGCTATGTTTAAAGGTCATACCGACAGTGCTGGCCCATAGCCTTAACGGTCGAAAACCAGTCTTGTAGTCTGAGGGTGCGGGTTCGAGCTTATATAGGGACCGGGCGACTCTCGCAGTATCCTCAGTCCACGCACGACTGATGTTG